GTTTTGATAATTTTCTTTTTGGGATTTCCAATCACCGCATAAGCAATTAAAGAATTTCTTTTTCTAGCATAATTTTTGGCTTGTTCTAAAGCTTCTTCCAAATTTTGACCCGTTCTTTTGGCTTCGATAGTTATTAAAGGGTCTACTCATCCCTTAGGTTTAAGAATATAATCCGCAAAAGTTTGTGAAGAATATTCTTCACCAAAAACATTCTTGCTTTTTCCTACTAACCTCCAACCTTTGCTTTTTAAATCAGCATCGATTTCCATGCGAATATCAGCTTCGGTTAACTTTGGCATAATGAAAATTTTACACTTTTATTTACTTTTTCTGACATGTTTTATAAAAATATTTCTCTCGGCTAAAAAATTATCTAAGTCTTTTAAAGTTTCCAGTTTAATAAACCAAGGACTATTATTTTTACCTTTTAAAGAATATCTTATTCCGGACTGATGAACACTGCCAATCCCGACTACTTGTTTTCCTAAAGAATGCAATTCACCAATTCTTTGTCCTTGATGATCAGCAAGAATAGAGCTAGGAGGAAGTTCTTTAATTAAAAGATAATAGTGAATTCCGCGGGTAGTTTGGATATAACGATTAACTCGCATTCTTTCTTTGGCTCAAATATCATCTAAATCAATCACCACAAAATAATAATTACCGATGCTTTTGCCGCATCTTATTCCTCAATTGTAATCATTAGTAAGAATCTCTTCGACAGTTCAAGGTTCATAAAAATTAGGTCAATTAGTTATGATTGGCCTTTTGCTTTGGTTAATTTCCAATCTTGGTATCCTAATTCTAATTTTGGGTCGATCTAAGCATTTAATTAGTTTCTTTTCGGTAATGGTTAATTTAGTTTGGTTCATGGTTTTTAAATTGATGCCTTGATCAGTTCCACGCTCTAATAGCGGAGAAGCGAAGAACATAATTGCACTTTTCTAATCGAGAACGGGAATATAATATAAAGAGGAGTAATAAAAAAATAGTCCCCTCCTCTAACTCTCGGTTTTTTTATTTTTTCCCAGTAGAACCTAAAAAAACTACTGGTTTCCCGACTGAGATTTTTCAGCTTCCCAGTAAGCTGTTGCAGTCCCTGTTTTACAGGAGGGACGAGAATAGCCTTCAAGACTATTGG